ATTAAAATTTGACCCATTGTCTTGATGGTTCAATGCCAGCTGCGTTGATGGGTTAAATTTCTTTATTCGATTTTTTCATAACATATCAAACCTTTTTTTTGCATATTCTATTAAATTTTATACATGAATTTATGATTTCATGCTAATTTTGAAACATAAATATTGCTTGAAAAATATAAAATTTTATGGTCAAACACATATAAAAATTCAAAAAAATGCATTTATTAGTTTTTGAAATTTCATTGATGATGTTTCACGTTGGATAGGTCAAGTTTTAATCGACTATAAAACTATCTACCATAATAATGATCTTAAACTATAAAGATATTAAATGAGAAAGAATTCAATAACATATTAAAGTAATAATTTGTACTTAGAAAAAAGACGAAAAGAGGAAAATAAATATTTTTGGATATATTCAAATGTATAAAATATAACATATATTATATATTTATATAAAAATATTTAACTTGAGTGTATATGAAGTTTGTGAACGGAAAGCAAAAGAGATGTTCATACAGTTAGGAAATATTGGTCAAAGCGGATTAAAGTGAGATTGTGTTGATGAAGATTTGTTAATTCATATTTGTTTACGAAATATTCAAGATAGCGGATTAAGGAGAGGTTGGTAGAGTGTCGATTAATACCAGACTTCGCGCAGTTGAGGATTACCAAACTGATATCATATGTGTTAAACGTTTTGTTGCACATGTGAAATCGTGAATAAAAACTAGGAAATCTTGGGGATTTTTATAAATTTTTATAAATGTTAAGATTTTTTATTTACTTACTCAATTATTTATAGTTTTGTTAGAAAAAATAAATAATAATAATAATTGTATATATTGTAATCATACTATTATTACTCGAATTACCATTTCGCAAAGAAAAGATTGGACTTATGGAGACTTTGAGCAAAAAAATTTTTTGTAATTGTATGTTTTTGCTCTTTAAACCCTGCTGCACTCTGTTTAGTTCGAGGTGTAGAAAATTCGAGTTATAAAAGTTCGAGTTATGGAACTTTAACTGTATTTTGTTCATACAATAATTTTCCATTTTGTTTTATATTACTATTATATTATAGGAAAGGGGGTATTCGGTGATGCATTGACTATGGAAATTGTTTTATAGTTATAACGAAGGTCTAATTTTAATGCATTTATAAACTTACTTAAACTATTTGACCACAATCATAAGGTAATGTACTGTCACATATGTGATAAAAAGTTTTCCATTTCCTAGTTCGGCTTTAGCAGCACTATTTTAGTGACATATTACTTACAGTACTATCATTAAAGTGATTATTTATTCAGTTTACAGTTTGTCATTCTACAATATTAAACTTATAACATCCATTGAACGTGTTAAAATTGTGAAAAGTTACTACAAAAATAGTGATGTTATCTTCAATTGAATATATATCAGTTATGAGGTTTATTTTTTGCTTAGTAAAACTGCCAACAAATGTTTATAAACCAAAAAGCATCTAGGGCGTTAATCAAATTTTCAATTTTTTCAATACTTTTTGTTCAGTTGTAAACAACAACAGCACTAGTTGAGCTGTTTTTTGAATTAACGAATAAACAACAGCTATATAACTTTACTTAACTGTTATTAATAGTTGTTTTCTTTAAATACTATTATTTGTAGAATCATTTTAATAATATGCATATACATAACATTAAATGATTGTCTTAGAATGGTTCTACATTATGTATTACTTATTTAAAACAATCTTATTATATATTAGAAGATAATGTATGGAAATATTTAGAAATTATATTATTCGATCATTGTTTTTGCATAATATGGTTGTAAGTAGAATCCAAATATTTTGCTCTAAAGATTTTAATCGCTCTCTATATTCTACTTTGGACCAGCTCTATATGTTAACCAGAGTAGCCGTGGAAGGTTATAATTTTGAGAATTTTTTTTAATCACAAATTTCTGAGACTTAGAAAAGAAGCCTGAGACTTCATAACATTTTATTTTAAAATTGAATTATGATTAACTACTAATTACAGAATTTAATCTTACTAATAATTGCTGCTTACAATTTTTTCAGTAATTTTTTTCCAAATTAATAATAAGTGATTAATTCTGTAAGAAATGTGATGGAAAAAATTCTTAGAAATTTGCATTACTTTGCAAACCAATTCATTAACTAAATTTTATTAAAAAAGTGTTAATTTTTATAGGTTTTTATTCTTGGAATTCATCATTCAAGTTTAAAAATATCCAGTTTTTAAATAGTTTTCTTCCATTTCATGTTTTATAGAATATTTTCTGAATTTTCGAAACATAATTTTAATGTAAAAAACGCATAAATATTTTATTTTTCAGGTGCGAATTTTTATAGTTTTGTTGACAGATTGCGGAATAAATAAATATATAATAAAATGAAATCATTTTATAGTTCAAATTTTAATACTTGGTTTAGTCATTTCAACACATGTGTGAAATATCTCAAGAAAAAAAATTGACGGCATTTTTTACAGAAATAGTTTGCAATAATTCAACTGATTTAAAACTTTATGTATTTGCAATTTAGCTAATAAAAATTACTAATTACTGATTGGTTAAGTGGTTGTATAAATTTGCATGAAAATGCCATATTTTATCCATTCTCTGCGTGTCCATAACTAATTTTTTAAAAAACAAATATTTGTTTTTAATTAAGTTTATATGATGAGTAACAAAAAAGGATGAGTAATAAATGTTTTTACCTAAACAAAATAATTAATGTTTAATATCTATGCCACACACATAGGCCGTTTTAATCATTTTTCACTTCATAATTTCTTCTAAATGTGCTAAATGATTATGGGAATACTTTCAACAAAGTTTATTTTACACACCACATTATTTATTATAAACTTATTTAAATCTATTTTACATTAGAGAACTTCATCCTTCAAGTATACCCAACAGGATGGTATTTCGTTGGACACATATTTGGAAATATCTTTTGATGTATAATATAATATTAACATATGATATATTATTATTAATGAAATAATTTTAAGATATCTCCAATTGAATCTACCCTAATTTTATTAACTTCAAAGCTAATGAGAATTATAAATAAATCAACATTAAGATTAACAGCAGGTTCAATATCAATAACAGGTTCTATAGCAAACATGGAAATTCGTATATTCGAATTGTTCAAACTTTTTAAATATATTCGGAATTGGTATTATTTCATCCAAAAAACATTTTCGGTTATTCAAATTGTATCATATTCCAAATAAAGTTTGAATAACACCTTTGCTACTAAATATTATGTTAAACGGCTTCGTTTAGAAAGATACTTAATTTAATTTTTTGAAAGTATTGAATTTGTGATAAAAATTATCACTTAAAAGCTACACCTTATATGTAAGGGCACCTGCTTTAATGCCTATGACGCTATTAAAATTTCACAGACACTTCTATTTAAAACCAGGTGGTGTTTTATTTGAAATTAGTAGCAAGTAATTTAGGTATCTTTTAGTAATAAGTCATTTATATGTTTTTGTATGTATAAAAGTACTGAACAGAGCTAAAAAAAATTCCTAGATTTCTAAGTGTTAGATGGCGGTTCATAGTAGTATAAAAAGAAACGAGGAAGTAAGTTAATTTAATCGAACGAACTTAGATGATCATTTGTATGTTTAAACATAATTTTAAAGATCATCATGAGCGTTTTTCATGTTCGCACGGAAAAAAAATAGTGCCGTTGAGTTGAAGTTCGTATAATGGTTCTTAAACATCTAAAAAATGATGCATAAATGGCGCAAGAACAGAGTGGAGATGAAATGGGCGGGATGCAATAATTTTAGATGTAAGAAATCATAGATTAATAAAGATGAACCAATTCAAAGTAAATCAAAAGTCGATATTGTTAAAAAAAGGAATAGTAAGATTTCAGAAGAATTGTTTTCTTTCTATAGTATACCACAATGATTGAATGATTGAACTGCCATCAGCTGGACAAATTAAATGAATCACTTAAACAAAAAAGGCCAGAATTGATCAGTAGAAAAAGTGTAGTGTTTCAGGAAGGTAATGTGATATACTACAAAAGTTTGGTTTCGATAGAATATATTGCCACATCCAATATATTTTTCGCATCTGGCACCTTCTGATGACTGTGTATTCCGGTCTCTACAAAATATTATATTAGGTAAAATCTTTGATGAAACAGTTTTTGTCAGCAAAGAGTATAAATTTCAAGAACAATTTTATATACATGCTATGAAATATTAAATAATATCTAACCTCACAATACCGCATGTGAAATTGCAATTACAATTCATTAATCAATATTTTCTATGCATTTAAAGGCTTAGTTTAATATGCGAGATTCCACTTAATAATTTAATGCGGTTCTAAGCTTCAATGAAGTCTAACTACTTAAATTAAAATCAAATAAATGTTGAAAGTTAATTGTTGACTCAATAACATCAATCGGATTAGCTTTATTTGAAAATTAATCATATATTTCGACTTCCAATTAAACAACTTAATTTATCTATTTTAGTATGTATTAAAATATTTAAAATTATGACAGTTGTAATTAATTGAAAATGAAAAGCAGTTTCTGCGAGGATGAGTTAACTATAGTAAGTGTCTAAACTTTTTTTGAAAACAGTTTTCAGAAAGTGCGGAAGAGTCTTTGCAATGAGTATAACTCGTCAGCCAATTCTAGATTTAGACGGCATAATATTAATCATGGAAATTATATATTTTCATTTTATTAACATTATTAAAGTTTTTTCAAATTTTTCTAAAGAAAAGTAATTAGATCCGTTTTATATTTAAAATTTAACACATCATGAAAATGTATGATTGACCTTAGTCCTTTCGCGGCTCTATGAGCATTGTTTGCAATGGGCATCACTAAGAATACATGTGTGTATACCTGATATTTTAATCGAAAAACTAAATCCCAAAATCCAATATCAGTAGTTACAAAATGTATTTTAGTTAATATTAATCTTAATATATTTCAATAACTACTCACCTAAACAAGTTGTGAGATCTAATGCTCCTGCGTATAGGCAACCATTCTTTCGTTTTATTACATTTGCGAGCTTATCAACACAAAAGCACTCATTATCATGTTCTGGGCCAATATCATTTATGAAATTCTCGCCAATCGAATAACGAAAACCAGGTATACCTTGATATTGTATATCAGATTGATAGAATAGCTGAACGGAGCGACATATATCTGCACTGAAAATATACATTGAATCACCACGTTGACGAAAAGGAGGATACGAAGATGCATCGGTGCCGTTGATTTGATTACACATCGACGTTTCACCATCAGTATTATTCAACCACACCTGTAAATTATGTGAATCATCCAGTTTTTGTATTTCAAGCACGCGACTTGCATCACCTTTGCCCGTATGTACCTCATATACATCATGTCCAGAACCATTTTTCTGTAGAAAAAAAAACACACTTCAATATAATATGTTTTATTTATAGATTTCCAGTTGTTCAACTTACGTGATTAAAAAATGAAAACGCCAAACTGCCATCGTTCAACTCACGTATAGTCTTTGAGCCGCTCTCCTTGATTTGATTGCAAATGGCCTTAGCTATACCATTCGGATTTATGCAAAACCGCACACCATCGAAAAGATACTCGCGCACAGTTGTTGTTACAAACATCGAACGTGGGTCATTGAAGACCGCCTTGATATTAGCATTCAAATGCACTAGCAGCAGTGATAAGCCAGGATCGTTTTCGCTAATCTGCAGCACAGACTGTAAATGCAAACAAATAGACTTTAGAATAATGTATAAAATTAAATAAAATTATTTTTTTTCAAAGCACAAGCATAGCATATGAATGCAATAATCGATTTGCAGTTAATTATTTACACCTTCAAGCATTTATCTAAACGCCAATCAAAACATGACTTCAATTTTAATTAAATTACAATTGCTAAACAAATGAATCTCTAATTACTTTTATTAGTTTTGCCAATTTTATTATAGTGATTAGTTTGAGAAATGACAGTTCTGACAAGTGAATCCTAATGACTTTTTTACATCGGTTTGGAAAAACTAATTAAATATTCTGATTTTGATGAACGATTGCATTAGATATTTTTACAAGAGAATTTTTAAGCGGAGTATGAATTGCCGAAAGCATTGATTCTTGGTCTTTTTGTTAGTTTTTAACTTACATTTACACCGTTAATTATGGTCACAAAGATATTGTGCAACCACTTATAGGGTTCTAGAAAGTTAGTTAATAAGATATAATAGATTAGAACTGATTTTAAAAAACATAAGAAAGGCTTCAGTTTTATGCTTATTATGTGTTTCCATTGCTAAATTTTTCCAATTTTCTTTTCAAATTAATTTTGCTAATAAGTACTTGAGCATAAAATTAAAGTCGTTATTGTAGTAATATTGATTATATGGAGACTAAATTAATAGAAGACCATAAGGTCTATTTGACTATTTACAGTTTCATATTAAAACACACATTTATATGTACAATTAAATGTATGTTTACTCTATTTTATCATCAACCAATATATAATGTTGATAAACTATATTCAAGGATATCAGATTTGTTGGTTGTGGAATATTATATTGGTTTTGTATAGTCTTGCCTGAGAATATGCATCCTTTTATATAATTTAGTCTTAATATTTTATATTCAATGCGTTTCATAAAATATTTTGTATAAAAAAACATAATTTTTTATTTAAAAAACTTAAATTAAATTAATGAAATTA